TTAAATGCCCTTTCCATGTAACCCATGACTGATGTGTCTACCATGCACTGTCGACGGCATATTTAGTTTAAACTATTGATTTCAAAGTTATGGGCAGAAAACTTGAGATTGATTTAGAAATACTTCACTAAAACGTAACTAAATTTCAATTTTTGTAATGCAAAATATTTCTAAATCAACAAAATATGGAATTTAAAACATAATGGTTTTTAAGGTATACATTTTTATAAGAAAACACAATTAAAAAAAGAACTTTTTTGTTATTTGCTTTTTGTTTTATTTTTTAATAAATATTGTGTTTAAGAAATAGAGTTTATTCATCGTAATATAACCAAAAGTAATATTAAAATTAAAAACATTCAGCAATATAGCCATTTTAAGGAGCGGAGCACTCAGTGCACCGCGCGACCACTTATGTTACAAAAATTGGCGCGAGTAGTTAAGAGTTAATAGAGGCGCTCTGGGAAGACATATACTTACCACACTCTGTGGTAAGTATATGTCGGAAGACGACCCTTGCGCTCTCTTATTATTATTATTATTATTATTATTATTATTATTTTGATAATTAGAAGTATAAAATGTCTGACAAACGCAAAAAAGATTCAGGAACTTTTTTAACAAACGGGCGCGTGACGCGTAAAATCGAGTACTAGCAGCAACCTTTTCCAAATTCTTGCAAAAAGAACCATCGTGGGCAGGTATATATATTATTATTATTATTATTATTATTATTTTTATTATTATTATTTTGATAATTAGAAGTATAAAATGTCTGACAAACGCAAAAAAGATTCAGGAACTTTTTTAACAAAGGGGCGCGTGACGCGGAAAATCGAGTACTAGCAGCAACCTTTTCCAAATTCTTGCAAAAAGAACCATCGTGGGCAGGTATAATATTTATACTTACAAAGAGCTCTTTTACGAAAGTGCTCTTTTAGTTCCACCCTTACTTCCTAAGAAGTCCCAGAAGCCAACTGAATGGCTTGTGCTGGTTAGGGGTAGGAACGGACCGCGGGCTTAAAGTCCCCTCCTAAGGACTATTACACAATAGGACAAACACAAATAAACAGCCATACCCCTGGTGGGATTCGAACCCACGACCTCCGGCTTGTAGTCAGCAGCACTAACCACTAGTCCACCGTCGGCGGTGTAAACAATATTGCTTATATGAAAATGAGATTTTATTTTTGTTGAGTACATTTAAACATTGTTTTTAGAGGTCTAAAATCAATGATCTGACATGCATCACAGCACAGCAAAAATCCGCTAAACTCATTACTATACCGCGGAACTTTTCCAGCGATGACGTCAAAATGTTTACAAAAATCAGAGTTAAAAAAGTAAACACTTATCTTTATATATGTGCAAAAAATAACTATAATATCACAATATAATCATTTTTATGTAATCGCTGGAAAACTTCCGCGCTATACTCATTACGTACCTAATTATTAAGTTAATTTACTAAGATGATTCAGCTGAAGTAAGTAAGCTACCTATTTAAAATGTTCTGGTACTTAAAATGTTCGGGTGCACTTGGTCTGTATACTTTTACATTAAAAATACAATATTTTAAGAGCAATTATGTAATAATCTGAGCTATCGCGGAATATTGCAAAAGTAAATTTTAACAAATCCTGTAATTTAAAAATATTCTTTAATTATACTCACTATATTAGTGACACTATTTTTAGTACCTATATAATAATATATAATATATTATATCATATTAAGATATATTATTGACAAGTGATGCAATTATGTACATATATATATTAGGGTGTGCCAAAAAAACTCGATATTTCTTTTTTCTTGCTCTCCACCCAAAATATCGTAGAATATGTCTAAACAAATATTCTGTTAAAAGCGGAGCTCATAATTTCAATTTTAAGAGGTCCCTCATCGAATCTGAAGTTTTGCCGCTTAAATAACACAGAAAACTAACTTTTTTACCTTATTTATTCTTGCAACCTAGGAAGAAATTTTTTTTTCATAAAATCCATGACCAAATCTTACAAAGCATTAAATTTGGACGAAAAAATCTTATTAAGCCGAATTTCTATTTTCATTATTTGATTTTTTACAGAGCTTTAAATTTAAAATTTTACGTTTTTTGTCTTTTTCAGCTAAACTATTGAAGTTAGACGAAAAAGTCAAATGGCAATTTTTTAGCTTGTCTGATGGAGCACAAAAAAGTTTTAGGCGAATTTTTTGTATCGTCAATATTCTAAAAGTTACAGGCGTATAAATTCATCATTTTTGTATTATTAACTTTAAAGCTCTGTAAAAAATCAAATAATGAAAATAGAAATTCGGCTTAATAGGATTTTTTTGTCCAAATTTAATGCTTTGTAAGAATTAGTCATGCATTTTATGAAAAAAAAATTTCTTCCTAGGTTGCAAGAATAAATAAGGTAAAAAAGTCAGTTTTCTGTGTTATTTAAGCGGCAAAACTTCAGATTCGATGAGGGACCTCTTAAAATTGAAATTATGAGCTCCGCTTTTAATAGAATATTTGTTCGGACATATTCTACGATATTTTGGGTGAAGAGCAAGAAAAAAAAAATATCGAGTTTTTTTGGCACACCCTAATATATATTTAACAGTATTATTACCTTACCTAGTAATTTTAAAGCATAAAAAACTCTTATAAAAAATTAAAAAAATAATAACGTTAAACTACTTTTTTTCCTTTTCCTGCTGAATAAAAAGGGGGCGGTAAAAATATCTTCGCCCGAGGCGGCAAAAAACATGGGGCCGGCCCTGTATATATGTATATATACAAGAGTGATTTTCTATTGACTTTTAAAACTTTTATTTATTTACGAATAGCAAGCCTTAATTTATTATGAGAAAATTAATTAAAAAATATAGGTACGTAAAAATAATGAATAAATACAAGGGTTGTTTAGGAAATATCAAGAATTAACGTTTTTAGTATAATATATTATTTATTATTTCCTTTAAAGTAATCATTAGATAAGTCAAGCCACGTCAAGTAATCACATTAATGTGTAGTAGGCATGTCGCATATGTTACAGTAAAAAAATTGTTTTGAAATTCGGTTTTTTATTAATGTTATTAAAGTTAATAACTTTGTCAAACTTAAAAGCACGGTAAAATTGAAAAAATATAATCTCTGAGACCACTCTGTATAAATGAATCCTATTTATCTCACTGTTGCATCAATTTTTAGACTATTGAATGATCATTTAATTAAGATACATTTATTTAATTAAAACAATTTTGCTTACATTTATTATAAACAATTGAATTTTTGTATGTGTTCTTTACGCTGAAAAAAAATTAATCTGGTGTTATAATATGTCATTTCGAAGATATTAAATGTTTTCTTCCGCTGTGCGCTTGATCAGTACGCGGCGCGCTTCGCTGCTAGCTCATCCGTTTTAACGTTCTAACGGGAAGCTGTGCTGACGAGCTATCAGCGAAGCGCACCGCTAGGGATTGCAATCCGGAAAACCGGATCCGGTAATCCGGCGGATCCGGCATCATTAAACGTCGATCGGATCCGGCATGATCCGGTCGGATCCGATCACACGCCATTAGGTTTAAACTGACAGTTGGGTTTCAAACTGACAGTTTGTCATTTGACTTGCTTGATAGTTAAATTATTTTTGTTGCATTTACGAGTACGAGAATAATTTCAGTAAATTATAGACTTTTACGATTAAATTGAGTAACGAATCCTTGCTAACGATGCATATTTCTGATTTTGTTTATAATATAACTTTATTATTACACTAATGAAGAATAGTATATTATGTATCAAGTTTTATAAACGCCATTTTAGTTACGAGTTTAATTAAGCACGAGTGAAGCTTGCGAGCGATTGTCTAGAGAAGCTTAAAGCCAATTTTATTTGTTAAAAACAACTGTCACTCGAATTTAACCTCACTTTTTTCCAATTCATAATAAAGCAAACTTCAGCACGTGACTAAAAAGCTTAAAAGCCACTGTTTCTAACTTCAGCCCGTGACTAAAACGCCATAAATACATTTGTTAGATATTTTTTGCCTTAATTTAATTCTAATAAAGGTTTATTGATGTTTACAAAATCTTTATTTGTAAAACTAAGTTTGACATATTCTTACTAAAGATAAAAACAAAAAATTCAATTTAATTATTAACTTTATGTGCTATATCTAGTACCTATGAGATTCACACATAATCTATACTAGATATAGCACATAAAGTTAATAATTAAATTGAATTATTATCATGAATAACTAATTTGGCTGGATTTGACCGGATTGAAATTGGTGCCGGATTGCAATCCCTACGCGCCGCGTACTGATCAAGCGCACAGCGAGACAAAATGAACTGACATATGAAGGACAAATTTTTGAGTACATTTTATTAAACGGGAACGTTTGCCGCATATTTTACACAAGATTAATTTTTTTCAGTGTGAAGAACGCATACAAAATTTCAATTGTTTATAATAAATGTATGCAAAATTGTTTTATTTAATCAAATTTACCTTAATTAAAGGATCATTCAATAGTCTTAACATTGCTACACTAGTGTGTAAAGGTAAACAACAACAAATAAATGCCGTTTCTTTTTAAACCCCAGAGTGTCACTGTTTGTACACCATTGTGGTCTGAAGAAATCATTGGACCATTTTTCTCTGGAAGAGTATTCGTATGCCACCAAAGCCGTATTGTTTTACATAAAGTCTAAATTGTAAATCATTAAATATTTAAATACTTTGCTCTGTTTAATTTAAAACTTAAATATTACCCTCTTATTATGTACCGTTTTCAATATTACACATTTTTTTATTCTTATAGCATTTATTGCAAACCGTTTTTTTAACAATTAAAAAATTGCGGATTGTACCAAAATACATTAAACTTTCCGACATTTGAAAACTGATTATTTAATACGGCTCCTAATTTGGACATTTTTTTCGACGTATTTACCAATACCTAATTTAAAAAACTAATATAAATTAAAGTAAATTAATGTTTTAGGTGGAGTGTTTGTAGTCCTTCTGTGCGGCTTAGCGCTGGCAATTATAGTGGCCATCCTGGAGTTCTGTTGGAACAGCAAGAAAAATGCGCAGACCGACAGGCAGTCGCTCTGTTCGGAAATGGCAGAAGAGCTGCGTTTCGCGGTTAGGTGTCACGGTTCTAGGCAGCGACCGGCCTTGCGGAGATCCTGTACCAGATGCAGTCCTGCCACGACATACGTTCCTGCTGCCCTGGACCTGCCTCATCTGAACGGAGTAAGAAATGATTGCCGTTAAATTAATCCTGCTTGTCTCATTACGCATGTCTATTATCCCGTTTGCATGCCACACTGTGTTATTGACACATGGTGAATAAATCACTAAATACATACAACCTTATGTCAATAGATTAGCACAGTGTTGCCAACTCGAAAATAACAAATAACGCTACAACAAAATCAAAATTCCGCTACGCCCGCTACAGCCTAATCTATCCTAATTCCGCTACACCCGCTCAGTGTTGCCAACTCGAAAATAACAAATAACGCTACAACAATATCAAAATTCCGCTACGCTCCGCTACAGCCGAATCTATCCTAATTCCACTACACCCGCTCTATTTTGGCTTAAAGTTTGGAATCCAAACTTTGGATACAATTTTTTTTAATGCAAATAAAGACAAGAAATGTTAAGCAAAATACTTTCTTCAAGTACCTAATAAATATAAAAAACAGGTAACAAAAAATCCCTATATAAAACCAAAACAAAAATATTCTAACGCTGGAAGTCCCGCCCGCCCGTAAAAGATAAACAATACGCAAGCCGCGGTAGCATTTATAAATCCTACGGCGGCTATATATAGCATTTTACGGGAGGGCGGGAGAAAGTACGAAAGGAAATCTATAAATAAAGCTAAGCACAAAAGATTTTAACCCTTCATTAGTCTCACTGTTTTCTGAAACGCCATTAGTCGATTCGATGTATGAGACCGAAAGTTAAAAATTACGTTCATTAAATATCTTGTGTGTGTATTGTGTGTAATTTTTAAGAAAAACACTATTTTAATATTTTTAAATGTAATGTTTTTAATAAACAAACAGAACAAACTATCAATATAAGAAAAAAAATTAGTGTTTTAAATGTTTTACTAAAACGTATTTTAAAAAAAACTAAATTCCGCTACGTTTTGCCATCATTTTGTTCCACCGCCGCTACGCCGCTTTTGGGGGTGAATCCCGCTATGCGTAGCGGAATTCCGCTACGGTTGGCAACTCTGGATTAGCATTGGGCGTTCCTTCCACTAATAAGATTAAAATATGGACAGCTTCTATATATTTTCGTAATACACAGAGAACAAGCTATGATCAAATGAATGATTTTCTTACTTTTATTTGTGCAAACCTGCTTAAAATTAGTTCAAACAGAAGAAGTAATTGAATTAAATTGTGATTCTATTAAATCCGTATTAAAACTTGGTTGGTTAAAACTTAAGAAATTATTGAATTAAATTGTTATTTAATTGAAGCCACAATGAATCTTAATGAAAAACCATAATTTGCATAAATAAAGTTATGGTTTCTAATGAATGGCTACATTAAATGCAATCAAAGCTCTATTTCTTTTAAATATGTATATTCTTGTGCAAATATTAGTTAATAATTATATAATACATTAATATGAACTTTAAATAAAATTAATTCTGGAAACTGCTTCTGGTAGTCTTGTGTACACAAGTTTTTCGGTCCATACAATGAAATTGTTCTGTTTTCTGTAGAAACTATTACACTGAAAGAAATATATACTAAAGTTAAATAAAAAAATAATTAGGGCAAATATATTTTATGTTTCATATATGGACTACCACATACATTGCTAAAACAAATATATTCGTTTGGTTAGCAGCCTATAGCTGCCCTAGCAATATAAATGTGTTAAATTTTACCAAATTTTACATATTTTCTTTAAGCATAAATGTGTTAAATATTAATATATATTATATGCTTACCTTAATTATAAATGTTAACTTCTGGGTTGGCGTGGATTTATTATGTAAATTCTAAACAATAATATACTAAATCTTAGCATATCATATTGTCGCCTCACCGAATCAGCATAAAATATTTTAAAGATTGATACAATTTATGTTTGTAACTTTTAAGAAAAATGCCATGGTGTTTCTAGCAATATTTTTTTGCTGTAATTCACTTATAGTTTACATTTTATAGTAAGGGTAAGTTTATTTTTATTTAGATCTAACATATCTTCTTTACAATAAATGTATTACAAAATTTAACATACATTCATAATAAACAGTAGTATAAATGTGTAAAGCACTAGTATAAAATTTTTAGTATAAATTTGTATTTACTTTTAGCAACAAATTTCTTTCAGTGTAGGAACCCACTAGAAGTGTTGGTTATATTAGGCTCTAAGAAAGTTGCTAACCCATCACAGTTACTGTACAGTAAATTCTGGATGTGCAGGATCTGTCTGCCATGGCACATGGTTATTCTAAAACGAAATAGGAATTTCATTTTTTGTATTTAGAGGCGAATCCTAAAGATTGCTCAAAGTCCTAAAGCAATATATACTTTCAGGACGCTCTGCAAGGATATCATGATGGTACTAACAGACTATAAGAAGTTTTTTATAAATAAATAAAACACGGTGCTGTTCTGAGAGGTGATTTTTGGACTTTTTGTGAAACCTAATTTTTTTTATATTCTTGTTAATTAGGTCATAACTAAAATTTTAAGAGCAAAATAAAAAAAATTTGACGGTTAATTTTGTTTTAATTGGATGTTTATTAAAAATATGTATGCACACTTTCAATTCTCCAATTAAAACTTGCGATTTTATTTAAATATTATCATAACTTTTTAAATCAGATTAAAGATTAGTTAATTTCCTAAAAAAAGGTCTATACATTTTTTATATCTTTTACTGTTTTGTTGTAATACACGTTAAAAGTTTTAATTTAAGGTTAAATGTATAGTATACATTTATTAAACAATAATTCTAAGGGTGCCACATTTTATTTAGGGCCGATTTATTCATTTTTGATTTATTTGACGAATAATTTCTTTGGATACTAGATATTGCCAAGACATGAAAGTTATCGGCCCGATAAACTTTTCTAAAGATGAATAAACCGGTCCTTAGTTAAATTTCATGAATTTCTTCGTAACTTTTACTACAATTTTTCATTTTTGTTTATAAAAAACACTTAAAAAAACTAAACAAAAATTATAGAATACGTATACTGAAAATGACAATTCAAACATCAAATATATTTTTAATAGATCTAAGTTTCATGGCAACCTTTAAGGATATATTAATTAAGGGAACATAAATGTATACGACAAAGGTAAGATTAAGAGTTTGAACGTTTATTGCAACAAAACAGTAAAATTTATAAAAAAATTGTAAAAACCTTTTTTTTAGTTATGCAAATATTAAATATTTAAATTAAATCGCTAGTTTTAATTGGATAATTGAAAGAGTGCATAATATATTTAATAAACAGCCAATTAAAACAATTCAAACCGTCAAATTTTTTTTATTTTGCTCTTAAAATTTTAGTTATGACCTAATTAACAAGAATATAAAAAAAAATTAGGTTTCACAGAAAGTCCAAAAATCACCTCTCAGAACAGCACCGTGAAAAACTTCGTCCATTTAAGCAAAATAGATATTTTAAGGCATGACACCGAATATTCAGACAAACTGTGTCCATGATATATACCTATATGATTACACATTTACCTTTTTGTTATTATTTAGAAATATGTAATTGAGTAATTAAATTACTGGATAATGCATGGCGGACATACATTATGTATGATACATATAAAAAACATGTACAACTTACCTTGAAAATTCGGGATTAGGAAGTACAACCCCCAAGAAATTAACAATTATAACAAACAACCAAACACTACCCCATCCAGAGATAACTCATACATCAATCAGCGTCACCAGAAATACCGATTAATCAGTTGATCACATTTAACTATAGGCACGAAAGCGATTGCAGGTTGTCGATGTGTGGTGTGGCAGGGGATGCCCTGGCGCGTTTGTATGAATTTTAACAATCATTAAATTAAATATAGGCCGCATTGAAAAAATGGGAATGATAAGTGGGCAAATAACAAGTATTTTTTAAGACAGTGAAAACATTGGTATTCACTGTAAGACAGTAATAACTTACTTTATCTTAGTTTCCATTGGAATAAAAATCATAAACATTAAAAGAAACAAAGACTATTCTTATTTCATTTGTTTTTAATTTTTTGTTGAAGCATTATAACTTTTAATTTAAATCAATGTTATATTTAATTAAATATTGTTAATTTTACCTTGATCAGATTAACTTTGAATGCAAACATTTCTAAAATTTTCAAGGAAGTACACATTTCCATTGGGTTTAAATCTAAAGAGCCATTCACTCTATAACAAGTAATTTTAACTTGATAATATTTTCTTATGGGCTGAATATAATATTTGTAATAACATCAATCTTACCCTCAATTGCTCCAAACGTATTTGATTGAATAAACTTTAACTTTTATTGGAGAAATAAATAACAATCAATTATAGCATTGTTATTGACTATATCAAAGCGTTTTTTCTGTGTATGTATGTTAAAACTGAAATATCCATTATTCTAAGCTTGTCGTAATACATTTATATTTTATCTGTTTGTACATTTGGTTCCATCAAGTTCTTTTATTTTTTTATGTATAGTCTTGCTCCAAAAATTATATTGACTTTAAGCTGTATGTATTTTTAAAAGTAAGAAGACACTTCAAAAGTCATATTATTTAACAAAAAACAATTTGAAAGCTTAAAAAGCCGTATTCCCAATGGGATTATTCAACAAAACTATCATCCTCCATAGGCTATGGATGGACCATCCCAACCGTAGTTCTTCGTATAAAATATTAAAAATTGCAATATATTTTTAAATACTCCATATTTTCTACAAAAATAAATATATCGAGGTAAACCAAAAACAAAACTGTTAAGAATAGATGTGACATGATAATTAAAACTAAAATTAGAACAATATACGGTTTTGCCACTTTACAGAGTCTTAAACTTATGGTAAAAACATATTTTTGTTTAAACCTGTATATTATAAACGTACGTCTATTTTTTAGTAAATTTTTAAAATGTGAGCGATTCTCCATTAATTTTTCTACAATATTCTTTAATATTCGTTTATATCTGTCATGAAATAAAAAAGTTATTTGCGATTGAAATTCATCGAAAATTTGTGTGAAATTTTGTTAAGAACAAAAATTATGGTATTTTTTTATTATTAATAACATTTTTCAGGAGGGGGTTATCCTGCCCATGATGGACCTAAAAAAATCCCCGATGCCGTACGACCTGGACACCTAGCGGCGACCAACGGCTGGAGGTGGGTACTCCAGTTTCGCGTGCACCTCGAACGCCATCAGAGACTGCTGTGGAGGACCGTCCAGCTCCAGGCCGCAACGGGCGGCCACCCTGAATTTCAGGACGACGCCCCAGTGCCCGGACCTGTCAGCAAAAAGTTTTACTCTGGGCAGAAATTCCAATTTATTCGGTGGCAGCAACACGTGGGACGTGGTGTTAAGTGGGGCCTGTAAGCCCGAAGACATTCCAGACAAAATTTTGTGGAAATTCGATTGTGATATTACTAGTCCAGACGTGGTTACAAGAACACTACCAGATGCAATTGTAAGTAGGACCACAACTTGTGATACTTAAGTAGATAATTTATTTTATTTTGAAGGTGAATATTTCCTTATTATTTGGGGGGAGTCGACTCCCTCCCGTATTCGCGTAGTATAAGTATTTTGAAATTTGAAATTTAATTTAGTTCAAAAGTCTGCTAAATTCAAATTATTAGTATTATCTTCTTTTATCAATGAATTCAGCCCTAATTGTTTGTTTATTTTGACGTTTTTGCCTGAAGACCGAAACTAGTCGCAAATAAATAAACAAATAATAAGGAAATATTCATTACATACACATATACCTTCAAATAAATCTACCTTATTCAAAATGGACAAATTACTACAATAATTTATTTTAACCACAAATAGGCCCATACATACTTGCTAAACAGTAATGCTTAAGCTTGCATTCCTAACCTTTCTCATAAAATGGGTTATATATTTGTTTATGCTGTATTTTTTATTGATAGAAACAAGTACCTAGTATTTAGCCCGGTCAGCACTGTAACGTAAAGTAAAGTAAAGTAAAGTTGGTTTATATTTCCCGCTCTTCGAAGTAACATTGTTACGGCGCGCCGTTCGTTACATAAATGCAGTAATATATTAATTTTTTGATGGATTACAATGTAACATTGCCGTTATAAAAGTCAAACATAAAATCAAATCAAATTAACGTCACATCCATGTTATTACTCAACACTTTTATATTATTGTTACATTTTACATTACATTGAGAATAACTTTTTTATGTCGCAATTTTGCTTTATTCTTATAATAATTCAATATCAACCAATGAATAAAAGTGCGCTGACCTTAACTTCGTTCATGTGCCTTGCAAACGTCAGTAACACGAGCGAGATGGATGCAGTCGTAACAAATTGTATCATGATGCACTCTTCTAGTATGCAATCCAGTAGAGTTTGCCTCTTCCGTACCGGGCAATAATTTCCTTCACTTTTCCTTATGATTTAAATTTACATTAATGACTTTGAAACTATTATTTTAACTATTATTCTTACGTTGCTAGTAACATTGTTGTAAAAGTAGTTTGTGTGTACTAAATATCATTTGATATTATAATTATACTTAAAAATCTTTTAAAAACAACACACGATATTGTCATTATTGTCTTTAAATTAGGTAAAGTACCACCTCCTTCATTTTGTCAGAAAGGTTAGGAAACACCCTGTATAAACTTTATTTTACTTTATTTCCCATTTATTTAAATTTGTAAATTAAAGGCATTTTTTGATTAAAAAAAAGCGTTACCTATGAACATTTGCGGCTAAATAACTCGGACACAAAATTTAACTGTTATATTGGCCATTTTTAATTACATTTAATTTATTGCTACCAAAATATATTTTGGTATATATATATATGATTATAATCCATCAGCGACACCACACTCAATTTGGTTTAAAATGGCTACCTTTGACTTTGACAGTCTCAAAGGATTCACAAAATTTTCTTTCATGTTAGGATATTTTAACAAATTCTTCTAACAATTATTGATTTGGGTCCCTAATACTCAGATGAATTTAGAGCCGGCTCGTACTTTTAAAATACGCTGTAATTCATGAAATTGAGGTCGGGTGAGTAGGGATGCCACTCCTTTCGTTATAATACGAAAAAAATTGTTCTGCACCATATATGCGTCGTGATGCTCTAGGATTAACAGTTGTTGTGGTACTATTCGATTCTTAACAAATTGTTATCGGTGAACAAAATTCTTTTCCAACAATCATGGGCGCGCCCGGGCGTGATCTTGTGATCATTTGATAGTGCATTTTTTTTTTCTCGTCTAGGCCGGTCCCAGTATGACCATGTACGCTTGACCTTGATATATTAAGCTATTTTTAGCCAGTTATCGTCAGTGCGATATTGTGAGAATTTTCCTAAAGAGATTGTATTTGATGGGGTCAAGCGTACATGGTCATACTGGGACCGGCCTAGACGAGAAAAAAAATGCACTATCAAATGATCACAAGATCACGCCCGGGCGCGCCCATGATTGTTGGAAAAGAATTTTGTTCACCGATAACAATTTGTTAAGAATCGAATGGTACCACAACAACTGTTAATCCTAGAGCAACACGACGCAGATATGGTGCAGAACAATTTTTTTCGTATTTTATAACGAAAGGAGTGGCATCCAGTTATAACTGCTAATTTACATATTATTTATGACTTGGATACCATCTAAATTTTAAGTTTAAGCGGCCGAAGCCGTTGTGTCCACAATCCACGCAACAAGGCAAAGACCCGAACAGCGGCCATTTTTATGTTGTTTACAATTCTTGTGCTTTGGGTTTGTATTAAACGTTGTGACAGAGGCATTGTCAAGCCTCAAATAAGGCCTTAAAGTGCTAAAAACAACCATTTTTACTCCTTTTTTGTAAAAACTAAACCATATTCTATGAGGGCTGTCATTAAACTGTCAAATTTTTAGGTTAATTTAAGGTTAATTTACTATCATCCACAAATTAATCTTAAAATTGACATTTAACAGTTTTATGGTAAATTCTCATATAACTTGTTTTGATGCTGTATCCACTTATTTTTGTGAAAACTAATTCTCGCTCAAGGTTTTTTTTAGTGTAATGAGCATGTAGCATTTTAAGGTAATGGGAACTTAAATTATGACAACCCTAATCTATTAATTTTTTCCTAAAATGCAGGCTTTATGTTGCAAATGTCACGTAAGTTACCGGTCACCAACTGCAATATCCTAACATTGATGAATATTTTAACAAAATGGCTGTTGAAACAACTAATGTTAGTTGCTTGATTAACTAAAAATAGACTTAAGATTGACGAAAAATTATTTTATCCGAAATCGGCAGTAAAGTTCTATTAATTTATTTTAATTTACGATTGTTGACTACTTTACTGCCGATTTCGGATAAAATAATTTTTTGTCAATTTTAAGTATATTTTTAGTTAATCAAGCACTAACATTAGTTGTTTGAACGGCCATTTTGTTGAAATATTCATCGATGTTAGGATATTGCAGTTGGTGACCGGTAACTTACGTGACATTTGCAACATAAAGCCTGCATTTTAGGAAAAAATTAATAGATTAGGGTTGTCATAATTTAAGTTCCCATTACCTTGAAATGCTACATGCTTATTACACTAAAAAAAACCTTGAGCGAGAATTAGTTTTCACAAAAATAAGTGGATACAGCATCGGAACAAGTTATATGAGAATTTACCTTATTACAGCCCTGATAAAATAAGGTTTATTTTTTACAAAACAGAAGTAAAATGGTTGCCCTTAGCCTTATTTGAGGCTTACAAGTGCCTCTGTAAAAAACACAACGTTTGAAACGATTATTAAGATGCATATACCATGTACTTACCTAATAGGTACTACCTATTTAGCCAATTTAACGCTTAGACTGTGACCGTTCGTTGACCGCAAACAAAGCATTTTTATTGAATGGCAATGCGCCGTCCATTTGTTTTGGTGGTCTGTGGTATAAAGAGCATAAACCCAAAGCACAAGAATTGTAAAGAACATAAAAATGGCTGCCGCGGCGCGCCGTTCGAGTCTGTGCAGTTGTGCAGTGATTTTTAGTATGCGAGATTGAACAAGATAGAAAAGACCTCGTTGTGTGGATTGTAATTAAGTCAAAAAATTAATTTTGGTTTTAAATGTGTTCGCGTTATTAAGTCGCGCCCTTTATTTATTTCGAAACTAGATGTTTATGGCCTTTTTACAAAACTATAATTATACATTTACTTAAAAATATAACATAATGGCGTAAAATACGCATTATTTTATCAATAATTCTATTAACAATTATACAATATTATTAGCTACATAATTACAAAACAAATTACTTTAAATTTATTATTTTGTCCATCCAAAATAGTATCTATTATTTGGTAAACTACATCATTAATAACATTTTAGTTCTCCTATTTCATTTAATACCATTATACTTATAATATTTCATTTGAATTAACATTTTAATAATTAGGCAAATAAACAATTTAAAATGAAATATCTATTTTTTTTTAATTACGAGCTTATTCAATGAAACTTACTTGATTTAAAAATTAAAAACTTTAATTTAAAAAAAAAACTACAAAAAACTACGACTTTAAATCTTTATAAAATAACTAAACATGTAGAAAATTTTTTTAGTTTACATATTTAGTTATTTTTAAAAATAATGACAATTTTTTATTACATATAGTTTACATATTTGGTTATTTTCAAAAATAATAATAATTTTCTATTACATTTTACTATTTAAATACAATATAATAATTTAGTTACCTTCTTGTTCCAGTTGACGTCTGTTGTTAATTCTTCACCACGTTGTATTGATTAAAATTTTATAACAATTTTAAAAATATTGTTTAATGTTTATTGTTAAAAAAAATATGTTTTGACTTTTTTCTTATAGTTTAAATATGTTATATTATCTGTGTACTGAGTTTAATAAACTGTGTAAATTTTATTTGTTTTATTTATCGTTAATCCTTTTTGAATGATTATATCACAATCCTGATTAAATTTGGTAAGTTACAATGGTGTTTAAAAAAATATATAGAAAACATAAAAGAAATAGACTAGGATACAGATGTGCCATCGGTTGCAGCATACTCTCTTGACAATTTAATTAATCCTGAAACCAAGAACGACAATGTAACTGTAGTGCTCCATTCTTGTATCAAATTACACTGTCCAGTTTTGTAACCAAGCCAAACTCGAGAGTCCAAGAATGCTTTCAAGACGTAAACTCTCTCAAAGATTTTTGAATCAAACATTGTAATTAAAATAGTATAAATACTTATTTAGTAATTTTCTATTTGGGCAAATATAAATACCATATCGGATTATAATTAAAAATATACAGAGTGATTCTCCTAACTTATTCATTAAAAGTTTTTGGAAAACGGAAGAAGATATCGATTTAAAATTTCTAAAGCAATTACAAGGCAATGTTAACTACACAGTGCAACAATTTGGGGGCTATGAAAAATGGACGCAATTTTGCATCGCACATTCGAAAGTATACATTAAGATAAGAAAAACCCCAGCTCCGTTTTGCGACATTAGCTCGCATTTTCATTTTATGGCTCTATAAAGTTT